TTCTAATTGGTCACTTTTACAAATATCCTCACACATTAGCAGTTCCAAAAGTGTGGTCTGTAGACCCTTGAAACACCCCCCACCCCAGGCCCTTTCAGGGAGTCCAGGTTGATAAAAATATTTTCATAATAATAAGACATCTTTGCCTTTTTCACCAGGTTGACATTTGCACTGACTGCTAAAAGGAATGGTGGATAAAACCGCTGTCGCGTGTAGCATGAATCCCGGCAGTGGCACCAAACAGTACTGAAAGTCATCAGATTCTTCACCATCACACAAAGTAAAACAATGCCCGCTTTATTTCGGAATGTCCTTATGAAGCAGTACAAACTATTTAACTAAATCCTGACCTTTAAGTGCATGTCTTTTAATTTGTGTGCTAAAGAGGGAAACACATACTTGGATTCTCATATCTGCTTCTGCATTCAACTTAGGGTAATATGTTGCTTTGGTTGCAATATCTGAAGAAGATCTGGCTTCGCACAAATGTGCTTGGAAAAGGGAGAAAGGAATCTTTTTAATAGCCTTTTTCACTTCTGCATATGGAAGAATGACGATTGTCTCAAGGAAAAGGGCTTGTGTGATCGTTTTGGTTGTGAGTTGAACTAAGCGCATTTTCATGGCTCCCCATTTTTATTTGAAAGAATGGCTGAGAGACCAAACATGGTTCGTCACACTGAGGTGACTGGCTGCCATTTTCCTGAGAATGAACAAAGTGAGCCTGTTACTTCAAGGAAAACAACTGGTAGTATTTATTGCCAATAAAAAAATTTGAACTTTCAAGTGAAAGTTAGAATTTTGGATTGCTTCCTAACACAAACTTTTCTGATGAGATCAATGGTGATATTAAGAAATGTGATTTTTCTGACTTTGTAGAGTGAAATGTGTCAACATTTGGAAGATCTGCATAACTCAGTAAACCAATATTTTCCAAATGAATAATGTATGATGTTACAAGGTAAGGCATGAGTAAAAGGATCCCACTCAAAGTGAAAGATAAACCAGTGGGTTTTAATGTAACAGAGTCTCAAAAGTTCATTGAGGTGGTTTCAGATTCCATATTCCACATTTAGCAAAGCACCATGGTGGCGGTCTGGTGTAGTATCAGAGAAAACTGTCTACAATTATCTAAAAAGGTTTATTAAAATACTTCTTCCTCCTCCAACTGTTTATCTGTGCAAGGCTGGATTTTCTTCGTATATTTTAACTGAAATAATATATCAAAATAGATGGAAAGCAGAAGCAGATATTAGAATCTAGTTATTTTCTACTAAGCTAGATACTGAAGTGATTTGTAAAAATGTAGAATAATGCCACTCTTCTCATTATTTTTGTTCTGGAAAAACAGTTAGACAGTTACTTTCCATACAAATTTCATCTATGTTAGCAATATTATCAAATTAGTTAAGAAATTTAAAAAATTTTCAATTTAATTTCTAATATGATAAATACTAACAGCTATAACCCACAAAGACAAAACCTCTTTGGGGTCCTCAATAATTTTTTAGAGTGTAAAGGGATACGGAGACCAAAAACATTTGAGAACCATTGATGTACATAAATCTTGTGTATAAGTCTATTTCTATAGGTTAGGGGTCTAGATGTGGAACTGCCTAATTTAAAAAAAAGTACGCACATTTAAAATTAATGTCCTGCCAAACTGCCTTTCAAAGACAGCCTTGTCAGCTGAAACTCTCGCCAAATGTGCGTAAAAATGCCTAATAACCTGCAGATAGGCAACGACTGAAATTATCAACCTTTTAGATTTTGTGATTAATCTTCAAAAAGTAGTTTCTCACATAATTTGTTTAAAGAGTAAAAGTCCTTTAATCCACATAAAGTAAGATTCAATTCAAAAAAAATTTTTTTAGGTTTACATATTATTGCTCAGGAAAATAGGCTGTCGTCAACTTACCAAAAAAATTATTTTCCAAATAACACCTGTGAATGGATGTCTGAAATACAGACTTTCCCATAGAAACAATGGCAGTAAAGTTTACAAGCCTCAACATATAATTTAATAATTTTTAAAAAAGTAGCTAAATTCTAGAATTGTACTACATTGGAAAACTATTGACAAAACTGTCTCTGTTAGAAAGAGCACTTCCCATCCTAGTTGCAAAGCTGGGAACTCTGATACCATCTACCACTGTATACCACAAATGATCTCCACCCTCCGCTTGCCACTCCACCTTTTAGAGGAGGGCTACCTCAACAACCCATGCCCTTTGCAGATCTCTCGCGGGGGCTTATACCTTCCAGTGGGCAGAAGTATTGCACTGTAGAAGCTTGGAGGCCAAATTATGGCATCATGGAGTGAAAACAGAACAGGACTGAGGGATGGAGTGATGGAGAAATGTCAAGGGGGAGAGGTACATATTTAGGATGGCACCATCCTTGTAACCAGCTTGCAGTAAACAAGAGAAGCTGGGCTACAACTTCAGGTAGGTGACAGAGAGTCAGAACTCTGTCTATTACTATGCAGAGTTAATATAAAGGGACCAGGCTTTGGCTTCACATAGGTTCCAGTGCTGGCTCCGCCCATGACTGCATGCCCCAGACTGAGCGATGAGTCATTTCTTAGCACATTCAGTTTCCCCATCTACAAAGTGGGGATAATAGTATCTCCCTCTTTTTGAATGCTGCAGGAATTTAATTGAAGTTCTTTACATAAAGAGCCTTGAACAAAATGGTAGAAGTTTGCATTATGTACATTATGTATTATGTACAAGTCAGTGCTAAGACATAAATTCATAAACCTGTAAAATAATGGGGCTGGATTAGACAATCCAAAGGGCCATTTTAGGTTGAACTATTCTATGACAAACCATAGAAAAGCCAGTGAAAAAATAGCTCTAAATATATATAATCCCCCAGGTAAGATAATCTGCTAACACAGAAATAATAACAATAAAAAAAGGAAAAAAAATTCCTATGAAAATTTTTGGAGAAAAAGAACCCAACTAAAATAAAAAGACAACAACAGATTGTAAAAATATATTTGCAGCAAATATGGCTGATGAGGATTAATATCTTTATTATACAATAGGGCATACATAGCAAGTAGAAAAATAAGGCCCCAAAAGATACATATACAAAGGACATTAACAAATAATTCAGTAACAACTGTTTAACAAACAGATAAACATTGGACCACACCAGGAACAACAATAGGATACCACTGTTGCTCTATCGGAGCTCTGGTGGTGCAGTGGTTAAGAGCCCAGCTGCTAATCAAAAGGTCAGCAGTTCGAATCCACCAGAAACCCTATGGGGCAGTTCTACTCTGTCCTATAGGGTCATTATGAGTCAGAATTGGCTCAACGGCAACGGGTTTTTGGTTATTCTATCCAACTGGTAAAAATTTAAAAACATATGACCCTCAAAATAATAAAAATAAACGTGGAAAAGACAGGTTGGTTCTATTAAAACCCACAGGAAAAAGACGTGGCTGTTTGTTTCTGTAAAGATTACAGCCTTAGAAACCCTGTGTGGCAGTTCTACTGTCCTACAGGGTCACTATGAGTCAGAATCAACTTGATGGCATTGGCAGTGGGTCTGTTCAAACACTGCTGGGGGATAAAGTGAAAGACGCTCAGTGTTCAACACTAAGGAAGTGGTCACATAAACAATGCAATGTCAACCTGATATCAGCAACATGGAAAATTCTTATGAGAATGTTAAGGCAAAACAAGTGATATACAAAACTGTTTATAAAACCTGATTATAAATGTGTAAGAATGAAAACATGCACAAGAAAATACAATTAAAGGCAAAAGATGGCTGGGCTTGTGCAACTGTGGCTTAGTTTTGGGGTCAGAGTGACAGGGTTTCAAAAACTGGTTCCAGGCCCCCAAGTTTTGTCACCAAGGACAAGTAAGGAATCGTTCTGAATCTTAATTTTTTCAATTATACTTATTCAGGTTGCTGTAAGGACACATTATAACCCAACGAAAGGGCTAGCATTGTACTTAGCCCATCGTAATAAGTGCTAGATAAATGGTAGTTATTTTATTTCTCATTGGTAGTGTGTTTACACTATCTTTACTGTAAACATTTTATAAACAAACATAATTTAATCATGTGACTGTCACGTAGGAAATTTCTTGACTAGACACTTAACATCAGCACTGTATTCACCACTTTAAATTTTCAGAAATGAATCAAGTGTACAAATAGCATTTCTATTAACCCACATATAAACCCCGTTGCTGTTGAGTCAATTCCGACTCATAGCGACCCTATGGGACAGAGTAGAACTGCCCCACAGGGTTTCCAAGGAGCGGCTGGTGAATTCAAACTGCTGTCCTTTTAGTTAGCAGCCGAGCTCTTACCCACTGCACCACCAGGGCTCCAATGCATATATAACGTTTAAAAATTGCTCTTATGTATTTTGTAAAATTTTTAAACTATAAAAAGTGGTTGCAAAAGATTGAATTTGCACATTTAATACAGAAACCCCAACAGGTGCCACTGGTAAGTGTCTCAGGGTAACATGACCTATTCCTCTGGTGTCTTCGCATTTTCTCTTCGAGATTCTGTACTATCCCACACATACTAAATCAGCTGTTGGCATCTGAGTATACACGCCATGATCAAATACAGACGGTCGTAATGTTCTTCCAGGCTTAGGGCCACTAATTTAAAATAGATTTGGGACATTCAATTTCCCTTCATATCATGGATTCCTTCATAATAAAAAACTAGACATGTGAGTACTTTTGTGAGATTGTATGTTATTCACTATCAGCCCTCCCCACCACCACCTGTGTAGGATAACGATCACTCTCCAAAGTATTTATTTATGAGCCTGTATAATTATTTATAGAAGTGTGAAACCACTACTTTTTGTTACTTATCTTCTTTCAAAAATATTTTATTCACTAGTTTACGAGATAAAAGCTATACTGTCTTTTAGACAAAGTTATTTAGAAGTAACCAAATATCCGATGACACCTGGCCTTTGTGTTTCACCTTTCCCCAACCCAAACGTCCATGACACGCTCTGTGAACAAACTTTGCATTTTTAAAATGCTGACTTCACTGCTTACTACAACGTGATTCATAATAAAGAACACACTTTTGTTCTGATTACCTTGTACAGTTGACAGAAAGGCATCTTAATTAATCAAAGAACCAAACAAGACAGCCACATATACTACTTCTGAGCATCTGAGTTATATGATGTGTGGTAAAAAGAGACTTCACTGAAAAGTGGGGGCTATGTTTTGGAATTTGGCACCAGTTCCAGAAGTCTAAATTTTGAAGCTTTCGCAAGAGTTTAAAGTCAGAGGAAGAAGGAAAAAAAAAAAAAAAGAAAAAACCCTAAGGGAAAAGGGATATAATTCAACGTAAAGAAATCAGTTGTTGCTACTTTAACCCACGTGTTGTGTGTCTGCCATTACCAGTTTGTCTTTCTGTCGTTCACCATGGATGAGAAAGCCGCTTCGTCCATTGCCTTCAGGGTGCATGACCTTACAGACCCCGACGCGACTGATCCCGCCTCCTTCCTGTGGGAACCATCCCCCGCTGGAGTCATCTCTGGTCATAACCACAGCCTTGACACGCACAATATAGCTGTCACTAAAACGACAACAACAAGAAGAACGGGGCATGACAATGGTCTGGTAGCTGCAGAACATGTTTCACAGTGCAAAGACCACTAGCCAGCACTCTCCTGGACTCAGCAGAAGAAAATCTGTGCCTGGCAGTAACTTGAAAAGGTAGCTCACCTCAACTTTGGGGGGAAAAACCCCAACTTAAATTCAATATAAACTACATTAAAAAAAAAAAAAAAAGATACCAAGTAATTAAAAAATATTTTGCGAATCTTTGAAGGTGGATGCAAATTTTCCACGTTGAGATCCAAGTCTGTAGGCATAATGTTCCTCAGTTTCTAGGTGTAAGTATTAATAATAAAACAAATGAACTGATCTCTGACATCTACAAGTTAGCAAAGACAAACCTATTCAGAGAGTATTATGACTTCAAACCCTTCATTTACAATGAATGATCAAGGCTTAACATTTCATAAAGCCAGTAATCTTCTTATTTAGCATAAGAATATGATAATCCACTTGCAAATCACAAATTGTCATGCAATTGTTTACACAGGTTGGAAAATATTTCAATTCAAATACCCTTTGCACTTTGCGTCCTTCTGTTTATAATTTTATTTTTTCTAGTCTAAACTTCAATTTCGCAATAAGTTCTTTCCCACATTTGCCAAAATCTCTTTCTTCCTCCAGAGACCAACTCTAGCCTCTTTTCAATGTTCATCACATTTTGGAAATTTATTTGGATTTTCAGCAAGGCCATTAAATTCTCACTTGCTGTTTCTTTCTTTGGATACAATTCATTTTTTACTCATTCAAACATATATTCATGTCTTCTCTATGCCAGGCACTGGATTCTAGGGAAACACAAGCGCAGTGACACAGACCCCCTTGGTTGCTCAGGCTTCAAGGGAAGACTTCCCCAACCCCAGAGCTCAGAGCCTGGCCACCACAACCTGCCCCACACCCCTGCTCACCTCACTCACCATAAGAAGTCAAAGCTACCAAACTGTCCATTACCCCTACAGCTTACTTCCCACTCAGCTTGGGGGACACCATCTCCCTTACTTCCTTATCCTCTCCTATGACCATCCTCTTCACTTTGTTAATCTAAATGGCTACTCGCTCTCCCTGAGTCTCTGTGACCCACTCATATGGGGCTGCTTTCTCTCTCCCACATCCCTTCCCAAGGAGCCTAGATGTGGGGTAGGGTACTCACCTTGCTGCAGACTATTTGCCCATACACCTGACCAGCTGCCCACTATCCTTCTTTGTTTCGATCTTCTACAGACTTCTGGGTCACTCCCCCCTCATTCCCTGAAGAGGTTAGCAATCTCTTGTCTCTAGGCTCACTGTCTCTCCAGTTCTCACCATTATCCCTGTCAAGATTCTTGATTATTTCATTATTCACACAAAGGACCCTTCCAATTTCTTGGCCTCTCAGTTCATGGAACTCCTCTACTCCAATGACTTTGTCTTATACCCAACCTTAGTCATACATGCTCAGGCTAACACTCTTGAACTTGTCAGTGTCAACATCTGTACCACATCTTTAAAGTGTTCAAAAGCAAAGATGTCACTTTAAGGACTAAGGTGCACCTGACGCAAGTTATGGTATTTTCAATAGCCTCTTATGCATGTGAAAGCTGGACAATGAAGAAAGGAAGACAGAAGAAGAACTGAGGCATTCTAATTATGGTGTTGGCAACAGATGCTGAATATACCATGGACTGCCAGCAGAATAAACAAATCTGTCTTGGAAGAAGTACAGCCAGAATGCGCCTTAGAAGTGAGGATGGCGAGACTTTGTCTCACGTACTTTGGACATGTTATCAGGAGGGACCAGTCCCTGGAGAAGGACATCATGCTTGGTAAAATAAAGGGTCAGCAAAAAAGAGGAAGACCTTCAAGAAGATGGACTGATACAGTGGCTGCAACAACAGGCTCAAACATAACAATAATTGCAAGGATGGTGCAAGACTGGGCAACATTTCCTATTATAAAATGAGGTCACCGAGTCAGAACTGACTCGACGGCACCTAACAACAACAACCACCTCTACAATCTCAATTTTAAGCATTCTAGTCTCCAACCACCACCTCCTAACTTTGCAGCTCACTCCCTCCAGACTCCAGTAATGTTTCAACCACCTTTTTCCTGTTCCCCACCCCTTCATGTTTTCACTTGATTCTCTACCCAACTTAAATTCCATGGTCTGTCTCAACACTCCTTTGCATGCAGCCTTAACTCCCTCGCCCTTTCTTTCCTTACTGTTAATTGCCTGGCAAAACCCCAACCCCAGTTAAATTTACCATTGGTTTACTCCATGCACCTCCACAGGAAGATAAACATGGTTAGAGGGGGAAAAACCCCCCACTACTATGAACAGAGGTCTCACTCTAAAGTCATAACCACTAATCTACAGCGTCACCTGGAATTCTGTTATACTTCCCTGGTCCATCGACAAGAAGACTATTTCACATGTCCCCCTACCTCCTACCTCTCAAGATGACAGATAAGTGTGCCTTAATTTCCCGGAGAAAACAGACATAAGCAGACGGGAACTTGCACCTGCACCTTTCACCATGCCTACTACTCTGTATCAATACTTTGCCTTTCCTCCTGTAACTGTGGATAAACAATCCATAATCCAAGCTCAGGCAAACTCTTCCATGTAAATACCTTCTATGTGCTAACAGACCCCAAATTCACATTTCTAACCCAGAACTCTCCCCTAAACTCCAGACCAGTAAAACCTACTGCCTATGTGACTTCACTGCTTGGGTGTCCAATAGGCATCTCAATCAACATGTTTCAGATTGGACTCTTGATTTCAATCCGTTCCCATCCTACTGGTTTTCCGTTTGATATATATCCAGAATCCACTTTTCACCACCTCCATTGGCAATGTCCTACTCCCAACTGCCATCACCTCTCATTTAGATTATTCCAGTAGCCTCCTAACTGGACTCCTTATTTCCATGCTTGCCCTACTTTCCCAGAAAACAGAAAGGTAAGTCAGGTTATGACTCTGTACTCAAACAAACCACCCAGTAGCTTCCTATATGACTGAGTAAAAATCAAAATCTGGCATATCTACCATTCTTCTCCTCACTCATTCTAGTTCAGTCCCATCTGAGTCCTTGATGGTCTGCCACACTAGGCACACACACCTACCCCAGGGCCTTTGCACTTCCTGTGTCTTCTACTTAGAATGTCATTCCCTGTTCTTCTCCCGAATACCTATTAGGCTTATTCTCTTATTTCATTTAGGTCTCTGTCCAAGGTCATTTCATCAGAGAAGATGTCCCTGTCTACGTTATATAAAGCAGCACCCTCTATCTCTTTTAGATTTTTTACCATTTTATTTTTCTATATGCTACTGAATCAGCACCTGCCCTATTACATATTGGTTTGCCTACTTTCCCCAACTAGAATGTAAACTCCACAAAAGGAGTGACTTTGGCTCTTTTGTTCACTGTTATATCTCTAGACCCTAGAATGGTATCTTTTATGTATGTAGGTGGTTGTGGAATAAATGGGTTAAATATACAATGTAAAGAGGTTTACAAAATGATCTGGAGCTAACAGAATCCCTGAGAAAACATAAAGTGCTCAATAGTCATTTGCTTATGAACCACAACAGCTTAACTGGAATAAGGGTAAAGACCTCCTTTGCATTAATAGGAAACTCGAATAAAAGCACAGGTTGCCATGTAGATGGTTTCTATCATAAATCTGTTCATCTCAGGATTCAACATGCATATTCCTTCAGATCCTAGAGATTAATTAAAAACATTTTATAACATTTGTTTAGATTAGTTGCAAACAAACGATTTTGGAGAATATACATGGTTTGATTTTTTCTTGTTGTTGTGTGCTATCAATTCCGATGCATAGTGACCCTATATGACAGAATAGAACTGCCCCATAGAGTTTCGTAGACTGTAATACTGTGGGAATAGAGTGCCAGGTCTTTTCTCTCGTGGAGCGGCTGCTAAGTTTGAATGGTGACCTTTTGGTTAGCAGTAAGTGCTTAACCATTGTACCACCAGGACTCCTACATGCTACTCATTCCAGAAAAGCTGAAGAGTCCTCAAGATATGTAATTCCCCAGTATGAAACACAGCTTTCCCAAATCTCCCACGAGTGTACTATGGGTTCATCCCAACAGGAGATCACCAAAATGAAGAACTGAAACGCTACACACCTCTTGTTGAAACATGATTTTACTTTTTTCGTCTTACAGCTGTGTGACGTTTTCCCTTCCTTTGAGAGGATTAAGTAAACATGAAATGGGGAAGTTTGCATTATGCCGCAGACTTATTTCCAAAAAGGACTCCTTTATTCAAGATTTTAAATATATATATCTATATCCTACTGCCTGGCCTTCAAATTACAAGGGCAGCTTTAACTTTGGCCTTTGCTTGCAGTCTGCAGCATTCCCCTTCCTGCCTTTATTCCTCCTACACCCCTTTCTGAGCAGACAGACTTGTCTATGATGGGGTGTGTGTGTGTGTGTGTAACAACAACCCCGCCAACCAGCATTAACCCAGGCATCTGGCTATTTAAAACAAGGCAGGGGGATAAAGTATTGCACTAAAAGCTGAGGAGGATGTCTGGATAATCCAGCTGCATGGCCGCATGCCAACTGCTTCCTATCTGTGGTGTATTTACGTTACCAGGCACTTAACCCCACCCAGAACAGAAATGACAATGAACTCTACTACCAAAAAGGTATAAAGGAGGAAACTCCCTCCCCAACTTTCTGGAAAGAATTAAACAACATCTGTTTAACACAGATGTGGGGTTTGCTTGGTGGGATCGTGGGTGGGGTGGGGTGGAGAAGGAAGAGCCAGGGCAGATTAGTTTTTTAATTTGCAAAAGGAAAATGCTGCTGGTATGCTTTAGAAATATATTTTTTTAATGCTAACATTGTCAAAAATAACAATTTAAAAAAAAATGCTTCTGAAAGTGCCAACATGTGGACTTTGTAAAAACATGACTTGTTCGTGATCACTCACCTTG